CATCCGGTTTTCAACGGGCCTATACGGTTCTCCGATTCAATGGTCCCTCTCGGTATGGTCTAGATGGCACTAGTGGTGGACCGAGCGATGCTTATCTCGAACTCAAACAGCGGTAAGCCTACGCGACTCGTAAAGCGCTCACATAAGCAAACATTCAGACCGAAACAGTGGTCAACACCACGCGCGAACGAGCCCGACGACCTCCGAGACTGATCGTTGAGGAGTGAGGTTACCGATCACGAGCAGTTGATGAAAAACGTGGGACAAAAAGACAGAAAAAGGGTTGATGATGGGAGATCGGAAAATGGAACGTCAGCTCCAGGTAATATTCTAGAACAGATTTTTCTGATTTGTAATGGATCAAAACATTCAGCATATGCTATAATCCAGGCTAGGTACAGTAGCGCCCTACCAGCTCCTAAACTTGATAGAACAAGAATGTCGCCGGTCATGTTTATGGAAAATCGATTAGGCTGGACAGTACATATCTGACTGGGATTTCCTTGCAAAAAATACAGTAAACAATTTTATACACATAAATCCAAAAAAGCTACACGTGAATGCAGTACTACTTGAAGAAATGAGCCTCAACAGACGAGCTGTGTCTGAACACTGTTAACTGTTTCACAAGAATGCTGGGTTGTGAACAAAACTTTCGCCCCAGCGGGACTCGAACCCGCACCTCTTGCTTTACCGGGCAAGTGCGCTACAAAAACAGCAGCTAACAATCAGAAGCTGTTAACTGTTTTTTTTTTGTCAAAGTTCGACTATAAGATTTGTATCTGATCAAATTTTTCTTCATCTGTGGAAGAGACTGCTAGGGGAATTATCGAGAAATGCGGAAGAATTCGGAAACTTTTTGTTATTTGCCGTTTTGTGTCTACACATTTCCTTCCCTCTTCAATCGACAGATTTTCTGGGAAATGTGAGGAAGTTAGTCTTTTTAGTACTAATGAGAGCTCATTTGTAGCGGTGGAGATCGTGCCTATCCTGAAATTTGACCAGCGCAATGGCTGACTAGTTTGAATTCAGTAGAACATTACTAAAAACATCCCAGGAAATCATACGATACTTTGGACTTTGAAATTTGCAACAGTTCCTGCCACATGAACGACAGTTCGCTCTAAACCAAAAAAATTGGTAAAGATCCGTAAAAAAAGCAAAATTGTCGTAAAAGGGAAAGAAGGATTCAAGCAAACTCCAACTTTCTCTTCGTAGAACCTCGGCATTGTTGTGATTATAATGTTATTCTTCTGCCAACGAGGTTGTTAGGTGGAGACTTTATTAGTGGCCTGACGTTTCGACGAGATCGTCTTCCTCAAAGGCCCAGTCCACCACCGCAAGAGCAGAACAGCGCCACTAAAGGTCAGTTATAGTTACTGACTCAGAAGGATTTCGGCTCTCACCAGAAGGCAGGTAAGAAGTGAGCAATAGATTTGACACCAGCCGCGAATAGTTAATCATAATTATCGAAAATATTGACCAAGTAAGGATCAAGCCGTCTTCGATCTCAGGGCATGTGCCCCGCCACGAG